GTTGCGTCAGGTGGTATCAGAGCGGGAGTTCGCCCAGTCAGATGGCCAACCAAGACGGTAGCAGTCGCAACCAACCCCGTGACGGAGATCAGGGGTTACAAGCTGTTTGGAGAGCAATTGAAGAGCAGCGTACAGCCACGCGTAACATTGAGCAGCAGTTGGTAGAGATCGCTGGACAACTGCGGACCTTGTTGCGGGAGGATGTTCCAAGGAACCGAGATAACCCGTACCCAACCGGAGGAAACGACTACGGAAGACCACTCGTCAATCCCATACCTCGGAATCCTGTTCTTGATGATGATAGCGACGACGAACTAGAGCTCGGCGCCGCTCTAGTTCTTCCCGGCGATGACAGAAACGGTAGGAATTGGCGCAACCCCAGCAATTTTAATCCTCGTCGGAATCATGATGAGTTTAAACTCAAAGTAGATATTCCTACTTTTAGTGGGGATCTGGATATCGAGGGCCTTCTAGATTGGATCACCGAAGTCGATCGTTTCTTCGAGTACATGGAGATCCCGAAAGAAAGAAGGGTGAAATTAGTAGCTTTTCGATTGAAGGGAGGAGCATCTGTCTGGTGGGAACGAATGAGGGAGGCTCGGATCAGAGAAGGAAGAGGTCCAGTTCGAACATGGAGGCGCATGAAGCAGCTAATAAGAGGTAGATTTTTACCCCCTGATTATGAGCAGTATATGTTTGAATCATATCAACGATGTGCACAGGGAACAAGAAGCGTAAATGAATACACATCAGAATTTCAGAGATTGGCAGAACGAAATCAGCTATCTGAAAGTGATAACCAGCAGGCAACCCATTATCTGAGTGGTTTGAGACCTGCTATCAAAGACAAGATTGGTGTTCAGATGATTCTCAGTGTGCAGGAAGCAAGGAACTTAGCTCTGAAAGCTAAATTAATGTTCCAAGAAAGGACCCAGGCCGAAAGCTATCGACGATACAATGGGAGCGACAATAGACCGACAACAGTCGACAAGAGCAAACCAGCCGCGGGAGTACAACCCTCCCACCCACCGAATACAGCTAACGCCAGTAAGGCCGCCACAGGAGGAAATGCTTGAGGTAACACTTCAAACCCTCCTAAACTCAGTAATCCCTATGCAAAACCTGCTCCTTTTAAGTGCTTCAAGTGCAATAAGTTGGGCATAGGTCTAGTGACTGTCCCAGAAGGAAGGCAGTTACCATTGTAGAGAAGGAGGAGGAAGAAGATGTTGACGATGAAGTATATTGTGAACCTGATGGAGAGGATGAAGAAGGTCCCTATGAACATGAAGAATACACATGTGTTGTGAGGAAACTAATGTTGTCCCAAAGAAGCAAAGATACTACTCAACGACATTGACTGTTTCGCACTAGATGTACTGTACAGGGTAAATTATTTGATTTAATTATTGATAGTGGCAGTCAGGAAAATATTATTTGTAGGGATGTGGTACAGAAATTACAACTACCTCCTGAGAAGCACCCGAACCCATATACAATTGGGTGGATCAAGGAAGTCGACGGCGTACGGGTGGAGGAACGCTGCAAGGTCCCATTCTCCATTGGTAAGTACACTGTCGAGGTATATTGTGATATTGTGGATATGGATGCTTGCCATATTTTGCTGGGTAGGCCTTGGCAGTTTGATAAAGATGCAAAACACTTGGGTAGGAAGAATACCTACTTGCTCAAAAAAGAGGGTGTACACTACACCTTATTACCCATGGCAAAAAAGAATCCACCAAAGGCTCCAAAGGCAGAGAGGAGAAATTTCCTTACCATTACACATCACCATGCTGAATTTGTAAGGGAATGTAAGGATACCCACGAGGTCCACTTGTTGGTAGTGAAGGGAGAAAGCATGAATGAGTCACTAGAGGAAAACAAAATTCCAGTGGAAGTGCAGGGACTACTCGATGAGTTCCATGACGTAGTTCCTGATGAGTTACCTAATGAGCTCCCACCCATGCGAGATATCCAACATCATATTGATTTTGTTCCTGGTGCTAGTCTACCTAATCTACCACACTACAGGATGAGTCCTAAAGAAAATGAGATCTTACGGGAGAAGGTAGAAGAATTATTAAGAAAGGGGCATATTCAAGTCAGCATGAGTCCTTGTGCAATACCAGCATTATTAACACCCAAGAAAGATGGGAGTTGGAGAATGTGTGTCGACAGCAGGGCCATTAACAAGATCACTATTGGCTACAAGTTTCCCATCCCAAGGCTGGATGACATGCTGGATCAACATGATGGAACCGTAGCCTTTTCCAAAATCGATCTCAGGAGTGGTTACCATCAGATCAGGATCCGTCCCGGAGATGAGTGGAAGACAGCTTTCAAGACTAGAGATGGGTTGTTCGAATGGTTAGTCATGCCCTTTGGACTAACCAACGCATCCAATACCTTCATGAGGCTAATGAATCAGGTACTGCGCCCTTTTATTGGCAAGTTTGTTGTGGTATATTTTGATGACATTCTGATTTACAGCAAATCTATCACTGAGCACCTAGGACATATCAGAGAGGTCTTGAATGCATTAAGAGAAAACAAATTATATGTTAATTTAAAGAAGTACACTTTTATGAGCAATAATTTGTTGTTCTTAGGGTTCATTATAAGTAAGGATGGAATTAAGGTGGATGAGGAGAAGGTGAAAGCCATTAGGTTGTGGCCAACCCCATCAAACGTCACGGACGTAAGACGTTTCCATGGGTTAGCAACTTTCTACAGGCGATTTATCAAACACTTTAGTAGTATTGTAGCTCCCATCACTAAGTGTTTGAAAAAGGGAAAGTTTCAATGGGAGAAGAACAAGAACAGAGCTTTGCTCTCATAAAAGAAAAATTATGCACCACTCCTATCCTTGCATTACCAAGTTTTGACAAACTATTTGAGGTTGAATGTGATGCCAGTGGAGTTGGCATAGGGATCGTATTGTCACAAGAAAAGAGACCAATTGCCTTCTTTAGTGAAAAGTTATGCGAAGCCAGGAAGAAGTGGTCCACTTATGACAAAGAATTCTATGTTGTTGTTAGAGCACTGAAAACCTGGGAACATTATTTAATTGCTAAAGACTTTGTTCTCTACACTGACCACCAAGCTCTTAAGTATCTCAGTAAGCAAAAGCAGTTGAGGAGTGACCTGCATGCAAGATGGTCTGTTTTTATTGATAAATTCCCATACAAAATTGTGTATAAGGGTGGACAGCAAAACAAAGTGGTCGATGCTCTAAGTAGGCGCGTAGCCCTCATCAAGACTCTCAGCATTGAAATAGTGGGCTTTGAATGCTTGAAAGATCTGTACACCCAGGATGATGACTTCAAACAGGTGTGGGAAAAGTACATAAATCGACAGCTAGCAGGTGATTTCTACATTCATGATGGGTTCCTTATGAAAGTGGAACAATTGTGCATCCCTTGCACCTCCCTCCGTGAGAAGATCATCAGGGATCTGCATGGGGGTGGATTAGCAGGACACCTCGGAAGAGACAAAATGATTGAAGCAGTCAAGGGACGTTACTACTGGCCTAAATTAAGGAGGGATGTGACCACTATTGTGAGTAGATGCTATATTTGTTAGACAGCTAAGGGACAGACCCGGAATACTGGCCTCTACATGCCTCTACCTGTTCCTACTGCAATTTGGGAAGACTGGTCCATGGATTTCGTGCTAGGCTTGCCAAAAACTCTAAGGAATATGGACTCCGTCTTCGTAGTGGTTGACCGGTTCTCCAAAATGGCTCACTTCCTCCCATGCAAGAAGACCGCAAATGCAATAGTGACAGCTAAGCTATTTTTCAGGGAGATTGTCCGTTTACATGAGGTACCTAAGACCATCACGTTGGATCGAGATACGAAGTTCTTAAGTCACTTCTGGATGACCCTGTGGAGACTATTTGACTCATCATTGAATTTCAGCAGTACTGCTCACCCACAGACAGATGGACAGACAGAGGTGGTGAATCGAACCCTAGGTAATTTGATCCGCAGTATCTGCAGGGAGAGACCGAAGCAGTGGGATTTTGCCACAGCACAGGCCGAGTTCGCCTAAAACAATGCAGTTCATAACTCTAAGGTAGATCCCCATTCTCCATTGTTTATATGAAGGTACCTAACCATGCATTGGACTTAGTAAAGCTACCCAGAGTACCTGGCCTAAGCACTTCTGTAGAACAGCTGGCAGAACAGATCCAATCAGTCCAGGAAGCAATGCAACAAAAACTGGAGCGAACCAATGCCAAGTACAAGATTGTAGCTAATAAGCATTGTCGGCACCAAGTGTTTGACGTCAGTGATAAAGTCATGGTGTTCTTAAGGAAGGAACGCATATCCGTGGGAAAGTATAACAAGCTACATCCTCAGAAGTACGGTCCATACAAGATCATTAAGAAAATCAATGACAATGCTTATGTTGTGGAGTTGCCAGATCACATAGGTATCTCCAAAACTTTTAATATTGTTGATCTACACCGTTACTTACTAGATGCCACACTTGCATATCCCAGTCATGACTCGAGGTCGAGTTCTTTCCAAGAGGAGAATGATGGAGGGCCAGCTCACCAACCGACGACAGCACTCTCTAGAGTCCTTACGTGATCCAACACCCATAGGATAATGGCGACAACTCCATGCATTGGATAAGCATTGGAAGGCGGTGGCTATCGGATGGTGGAGATCAAGGCAGCATCAAGGAGGACTTCGATCCTAGCTAGAAGACTAGGTGTTTTAGTTGTTTTAGACCNAAAAATTATGCACCACTCCTATCCTTGCATTACCAAGTTTTGACAAACTATTTGAGGTTGAATGTGATGCCAGTGGAGTTGGCATAGGGATCGTATTGTCACAAGAAAAGAGACCAATTGCCTTCTTTAGTGAAAAGTTATGCGAAGCCAGGAAGAAGTGGTCCACTTATGACAAAGAATTCTATGTTGTTGTTAGAGCACTGAAAACCTGGGAACATTATTTAATTGCTAAAGACTTTGTTCTCTACACTGACCACCAAGCTCTTAAGTATCTCAGTAAGCAAAAGCAGTTGAGGAGTGACCTGCATGCAAGATGGTCTGTTTTTATTGATAAATTCCCATACAAAATTGTGTATAAGGGTGGACAGCAAAACAAAGTGGTCGATGCTCTAAGTAGGCGCGTAGCCCTCATCAAGACTCTCAGCATTGAAATAGTGGGCTTTGAATGCTTGAAAGATCTGTACACCCAGGATGATGACTTCAAACAGGTGTGGGAAAAGTACATAAATCGACAGCTAGCAGGTGATTTCTACATTCATGATGGGTTCCTTATGAAAGTGGAACAATTGTGCATCCCTTGCACCTCCCTCCGTGAGAAGATCATCAGGGATCTGCATGGGGGTGGATTAGCAGGACACCTCGGAAGAGACAAAATGATTGAAGCAGTCAAGGGACGTTACTACTGGCCTAAATTAAGGAGGGATGTGACCACTATTGTGAGTAGATGCTATATTTGTTAGACAGCTAAGGGACAGACCCGGAATACTGGCCTCTACATGCCTCTACCTGTTCCTACTGCAATTTGGGAAGACTGGTCCATGGATTTCGTGCTAGGCTTGCCAAAAACTCTAAGGAATATGGACTCCGTCTTCGTAGTGGTTGACCGGTTCTCCAAAATGGCTCACTTCCTCCCATGCAAGAAGACCGCAAATGCAATAGTGACAGCTAAGCTATTTTTCAGGGAGATTGTCCGTTTACATGAGGTACCTAAGACCATCACGTTGGATCGAGATACGAAGTTCTTAAGTCACTTCTGGATGACCCTGTGGAGACTATTTGACTCATCATTGAATTTCAGCAGTACTGCTCACCCACAGACAGATGGACAGACAGAGGTGGTGAATCGAACCCTAGGTAATTTGATCCGCAGTATCTGCAGGGAGAGACCGAAGCAGTGGGATTTTGCCACAGCACAGGCCGAGTTCGCCTAAAACAATGCAGTTCATAACTCTAAGGTAGATCCCCATTCTCCATTGTTTATATGAAGGTACCTAACCATGCATTGGACTTAGTAAAGCTACCCAGAGTACCTGGCCTAAGCACTTCTGTAGAACAGCTGGCAGAACAGATCCAATCAGTCCAGGAAGCAATGCAACAAAAACTGGAGCGAACCAATGCCAAGTACAAGATTGTAGCTAATAAGCATTGTCGGCACCAAGTGTTTGACGTCAGTGATAAAGTCATGGTGTTCTTAAGGAAGGAACGCATATCCGTGGGAAAGTATAACAAGCTACATCCTCAGAAGTACGGTCCATACAAGATCATTAAGAAAATCAATGACAATGCTTATGTTGTGGAGTTGCCAGATCACATAGGTATCTCCAAAACTTTTAATATTGTTGATCTACACCGTTACTTACTAGATGCCACACTTGCATATCCCAGTCATGACTCGAGGTCGAGTTCTTTCCAAGAGGAGAATGATGGAGGGCCAGCTCACCAACCGACGACAGCACTCTCTAGAGTCCTTACGTGATCCAACACCCATAGGATAATGGCGACAACTCCATGCATTGGATAAGCATTGGAAGGCGGTGGCTATCGGATGGKGGAGATCAAGGCAGCATCAAGGAGGACTTCGATCCTAGCTAGAAGACTAGGTGTTTTAGTTGTTTTAGACCTTTACAACTTTTCTTTCCTAGTTACTCTATGAGTTTCCAGATGTATTATAAATATCATTATTTTCAAGCGAATAGACACACAAGAATTTGCCAACTTCTCTCTCTCTTCCAAAGGCTCACGCCTAGTTACAACTGGCTTCACGACGAAGCCTCGTGTTCGCCTGGTGCTTGCATAACCAGCCCGGTTTATTGCTTCCACGCTGCGTCAAGCTCCTAAGACATTGATATTCAGTGTTGTATCATACCTGCAAAAAATGGAAGAACAAACTTTTTTTTCTTCATTTTCTCATTCTTATTATTTAGGCTCTGTTTGTCGTGTTAATTTCAATTCAGAAGCTATAAATTTTGGAGAGTGCAAATAGGCTGAATGTAGATTCTGGTTTTCTTTTTGTTTGTCTTATTTGTTTATTGGGAGAAATAAAATAATATTATATATATGACGCAAATTTTGAATTGGACTATGATGCAGAAGGAAAGATGGTCATTTGTTTGAGTGCATGATGAGAATCAAGATAGGAGGAAGGTGATGCAAATTTTGCATCAGTATTTTAATCAAAATTTGCACTGCTAATGGGTATGTATATATATTCCCAAGTTCCAAATAAAGTCTTAATTAGTTTCTTAAACTAATTTAATAATCCCCAGGCTTTATTAAATTACCTCTCATCAAACTTGGTAGTGGCAGCTGAGTGAACGATGAAGTCGACTTCTCCCCAAATTTCTTCGAGCAAATTAGAATCATTAATCCCCAAGTTCTCCCAAGTGACATCCCCAGCAACCGGAGTCACCTTGTCTGAAATGAAGGAATCCGTACATTCACCATGTTTTTCTCTTAGAACCCCAAATAATTCTTTCCCACAACCTACAATATATAATAAACTCATGAGTGAACGTTATTATTTACAAATTTCACCTCTCTCTCTCTCTAAAAGTCAAGAATCCTCTCTCTAAAAGTCAAGAACCCACTTAGGCACTTAACTCATTAGACAGTCGCTAGCTCTTGGGCTGACTTGGCATCTGCAGCAAGGAAAAGCCTCTTAACGTTAGCTCACTACGTACACATGATCAGAAGAAGTAGAGTTAACATTTGAAATTGTTAAAACATGCACTATGTGCCAATGAGAGCATGTAAATTGCAAAATTATTTCTTAGAAAAAAGACTGAAACATAATGTTTGGAGTACTACTCTTTGCTAGAAAGCCAGTAGAGCCGGTGACTAAGATGGGCTTGTTCTCTAGAGAGCAAGCAATTCCAGGTAATTGATCCATTGGAAATTAAACGAAACCCAAGGCTGAAGAGAGACTCTGTCGCTTCTTATGTATTTCTATAGACTATATGGTACAAGGATCCTCATTAATGGACGAGCTAACAGAGAGTAAATGTCATGTGCATGCGTCGTGATCCGGACTGCCCATAACCAGAGACAGCAAGTTAATATGACAGCAGTACTCTACAGCATCTCTTTAAAATATATATGAGTGAGAAGCTCCACAACATTTAGTATTTTATTTTAGGCCCTGTTCGATAAATTATGTATTTGGGTAAATCGTAAATGCAGTTAGAGGTGTAAATCGGGCTATGAAGCTCGTGGCCTGGCATGGCTTGGTCCGACTTTGGACCCCCCCCCCCCCCAACAGTTTGTTTCAACTTTTTGGGGAGTTTATTATAGAAATACTCCCCAACAACTATAAACAGCTATATAGGGGGGTATTTATGTATTTTGGTTATGGGGGAAGAAAAAATGACGCAAATGCCCCCCAACAGCTATATAACAACTAGTTTAGGGGGGTATTTTGGATAAAGTGATAAATAACTTTACAATGATCAAAATACACCTCCCAACAACTAAAAAATGACTAGTTTTTAGAGTATTTTGGGCAATTGAATTATTTTCAATTCCTATAAATAGTCATATCCTCCACCATTCTCATCACACT